AAAACGACATGTTTAACAGCTAAAAGTGGGGGCCTCATTTTTATGCAACATATTTGTGTAGTCCTATATACATCTTTCTGTGTTCAGTGCTTGTTACGTTTTACCAAGACAAGCACAAATTTCTTATTATTTTGATTATTCCAGAACCTTGCAGTACACATATTTATTATGCAATACGATCATCTTTTTTGATCAATTCCACACCGTTTCTTTCACAATGCAATCACATTGCTTTCTTAGCAGTCAGGTAAAATAACCACCACCATTCCACATGACCAGAACTCAACTTTATCTTTAATGCCCGATTTCAACGAAACTAAACGTTCAATGTTGAATTACACCCTCTTTACAATACCACTCTCAAATTTGGAAACAGACATCGTAAAAATGCGACAAGTTCCGTTTATCTAGGAACTTTTGTCATTCAAAGTTTTTTTAAAAAACATTTTTATTTCCGAAAATATACTTTTTTTTTTCTATCTCTGTTGCTGTAAAATATTCGGTTACAAAAAACCATATTAACGAAACCTCTCTCACGTAATAATCACAATCATAATAATTTTCTGTAATAACCATACAACCGAAACCGTCATCAAAATCATCCTTCTCCATCACCCTCCTGACATTTACGTCATCATCCTCGTTTGCTTCTTCATCACCATCACAACACCATCTTAATCACTACCACTATTATTATAATCATCGTCACAATAATCATCATCATCAGCATCATTAACATTATCATCACCACTACCATCATCATCACCATCATCATCATCATCATCACCACCATCATCATTGTCATCATCATCATCACCACCATCATCATCATCACCATCATCATCACCACCATCATCATCATCACCATCATCATCACCACCATCATCATCATCACCATCATCATCACCACCATCATCATCATCACCATCATCATCACCACCATCATCATCATCACCATCATCATCACCACCATCATCATCACCATCATCATCATCACCATCATCATCACCATCATCATCATCACCATCATCATCACCATCATCATCATCACCATCATCATCATCATCATCACCACCATCATCATCACCACCATCATCATCATCACCATCATCATCACCACCATCATCATCACCATCATCATCATCACCATCATCATCACCATCATCATCATCACCATCATCATCACCATCATCATCATCACCATCATCATCATCATCATCATCATCATCATCCCCATCATCATCATCATCATCACCATCATCATCATCATCACCATCACCATCACCACCATCATCATCATCATCATCATCATCCCCATCATCATCACCATCATCACCATCATCATCTTTATCACAAGCATCATTCACCATCATTATCAGAATTATTGGCTATTATTGGTTCTGCATTCTATCATCTGTAAAATGAATTGTAACCATGCATGAGTATTACCAAGGGGTAGGAGAAGCCTTGGTCATCATCATCATCATACTCAGCAGTACCTTGATGCTAAATCCACTTTCTTACATTACGGGTGACACAAATTCTTGTTTGAATTCAATAGTGCTCAAATATTACAATTTATTTTGTCACTCACAATAAGACTGATACATATACATGTTATAGAAGGAAGGAAATGTTGTTATAAAAGTTCTACTATACCAAGTTTTATGATACCCTCTACATTGATTCAATCTACAATCATATCGATCGTGTACGATATTGATTTGAAACGGGTCAGCTCGCGACTTATCCAAGATAATCACTGAACCTGGCAGGTAAGTTTGTCCCAATTAACCGTTCATACACATACAGAACATATTTTAGGTTATAGTTGTAATACATTTTGTCTATACATCTACTTATACATTCCTTATTCTGTTCTTTATATTACGAAACAATATACATCGTATACAAAGGATGTCGAAGAGAAAACCGAGTTCTGGTAAATAATTAAAATTATTTTAAATCTTTGTATGTTATTTTAAGAGAATATAATTGTAGGAATATCTCCTGAAAAAGATCGCTATTAAAATACCAAATATGACAAGATATAGCTGAAGACTTTGGTTCACAATTTTATGCGGAGACCAATATACCCATGGCAGCGATCTGATCTTCAGCAAGATTTAGTCTGTTAGTCAAAGCTTTTTCTATTACCGGAATGATAATTCAAAACCTCACAGTATACATGAAGACTTTACTTACTGAACTTTCCCTATTTGCTTCTTGGCAGTATCTTTCACAGTGTCAGCACACAAGTGATTTGACTTTGATATGGATTAATGTTGGTTATCTTCCTAACATAAGTATATGCATACTTATTTCATTCTTAGTATTGTTTACATGTTTTCTTCCCGTGATTTTTCAAGTTTTTATTAAAAATATATTCTGTTAAATGAAATATTGATGTAACACGTGAAATATTTTTCATTTTAAAGGCAATTTACTTGTTTGACCAGAACTCATCTTAATCTAAATTCTAAAAGAACATAAATATACACATCAAGTTATACAGTTTTTGTACAGTTTAGGATGACCCATTTTCTACAAATAACTCTGTAAGCTTTAGGAGTTCGGGATTACCATGTGATGTGAAAGAGTGCTCTCCTTTGGTTGATCTCAATTATGATTAATTTTGAGAGTTATCAATAAAATATACAGAACTTGTACTTTTTAAACTTCGCTAACAATTTTATTCTTTGGGATAACCACAACAAATTCTCCTTACCATTGACGTATAAATTCTATAATTTCTCTTTAACTCTTTATGCATCTACTTTCTCCAAGAACTTGATTTACAGAATGAAATGATAATACAGGGATAGTACCCTACCTAAATAGATGGACATGTATAACAAAAAGGGTATTTTCGATTTCGCCTTGTGTATAATAAAGGCCTACTTTGAAAGACGATGGAGTATCACGTTTACAAGGTCATTTCGTGGTGGTCTCCACATAAATATGTATTAAACATACAGCTTCATGTTTCTAAACCTTTTTTTGTTGTTTACATGACAGCGAATTCCACCAAAAACAGCTAGTAATTATTAGTTGGAGCACTAATTTCTAGTTTTTTGTTTTCAATATAAAATATTTCATAGTCATATATATATTCAAGTTTCTATTTTAAATTTTACTTCTACTCATAAAAAAGATAACTACAATAAAAGCATATACTTAAGAACAAATTAAGAACATTTTATACATGAATATATACGTTTACCTATACGTGTACATAAGCTGATAAGTGAGAAAATGAAAGAAAATGAATAACTAAATTCAGAGTGGAGGAGCCGACAGAGGCCAAAGACCTGTCAAGGGCTAGGTCGTTGTAGTCTTGCTTGATTTAAAATATTATTCTAAAACATTAGTAATTGAAAAAGAAAGAAGTAAAGAAATAGGTAATTATTATTATGACGATTCACAGCATGTGAGTGAATACCTTTATTTCAGTAATTCAGTAAATCATTGAAGAAAGGTTTATAGTGACTCTTATGTGTCATCAGGAATATTTACAAGTATGACAATTCACAATATGGGTACATACATTTATTTCAAGAATTCAGTAAACAGCACTTTGATTTTCTCTTGATGTAAAGATACTCTGTTCCTTTTGCAGCCAACCTCAAATTCTGTAGAACTTTGCAGGAATTATGAATATGTCATGTATATCCTATCTGGGAAATTTAAACATTAGCAGTGTCCTTATATTCAAATTATGCAATACAACCTGTTTACTTGCTAGACTTTATTGTCAGACACTATTGCCAGTATTGAGTGACTGACTGGCTTTTTCTTCTTCTTTGGTAATAACATACATAAAATGAGCTGTAAAGGATTTGTCTACATCCATAACCCACTTCTTGTAATGGCCAAAATTAAACTGATTGAATCTTTGCGCAGCATAAAACGTACGACCATGCGGTACAATGGTCTTAAAATCAAGACTATTACTTATTGGCTCACATAGGTCGGTTTGACAACTAATAGTCGTTATTTTCCCACTTAAAGACATTTTCAAGCCCCATTCTTTTAAGGGGAGTTCTAAATTAGTATTATCTTTTAAATGCCATTGGAATTTAACCTTTTCCTTTTTTTTTTTATTTGGCCTGCAAAAGGGACATAGTACCCTTAAGACATGTTTAACAGTGACCCTATCAATGTATACTACACTCTTCGAGTGTTATAATCTTGAGCCAACCATGCTAACGGCTTCATTTCTCATTATCATACTATATATAACATATTCTCTTATGATATAATCTCAAAGGCCTAATTATGAGGTATATAAACAATAACAATAATCCAATCTACGTTCATAAATCTACTAGTATTCCGATTCCACGTAAGCTTCTATACCAGGTAAAGTAAAATGAAGAGATAAGCATGCCATAATGAAACATACATTTTTGCGGCAAACAACATAAGAGTACAAGCATGTGTACTTTAAGCAATTGTATATCGTATTGTATATTGCAATTACATATTTTAAAAGATGCATAGGCCAATTTTTTAAATATATCAATTACATTTAATTTTCACCTTCATTAAATATGTATTATCACTATTATTATAATTCTTATTTATTCATTACATTTGTATGCTATTTTCATATAACACAAATCTGATAATACGTAATATACATACGTAATATATATATTCTTGCAAAGATAGGAATTCAGATGAGTGATCAGATGAGAGTAGAACAGTGGGAGGAGAAAAGACAACAAAGACAGCAGCTAGTTACGGCTTCAAAAGCATAGCCACAAATGACTTTTGTCTGCAGCAACTGCAACAGGGTCTGCCTCTCTAGGATTAGATTGTTTAGTCACAGCATAAGCTGCACATCAAGAAACTAATTAGTACAACTAGCGAAACATTCTATTGTTTTTTGAGACAGACAGATGCCAAGGATTATATACATATATTATATTAGAATATCTTGTATAATTTATTTCAAGAGAATAATTGATAGTCATAATACATCACGTTAGGAGAAAATTGCCCATCTTTCACATTTGTATAGTCCCCTGATCCTAGACTGATATCATTCATGGACGGCATGGTGTGGTGGTTAGTTTAAATATATAGAGTCTATCAGGAGTACAGAAAGCAATCTCCCCTGATCGGAACTCGCGCATATAGTACCATCTACGTTTATCGGGATTCTCAATCTTGTGATCAGAGATGAGAGTCTTGACGTGTTTAAGTTCGCTGGTGTACTTATCGATACTAACCAACCCATCAGCATGCTTGACCCGAGCGATCAGGATTGAATTATTCTGAGTCACAGCAGCGTATACTGGAGTCATTTCTAATTCTTCCTTGTGTTTTACATTGCCATGTTTGTCAATTATTCTTACCCTATGACTATCTTTGATGATCAATAGGTCATTATAACTAGTGATCTGCTCAGGGGTATACCCATGGCATGGTATCTCCCTGATCGCCTTCCCACCTGCTGGAGAGAACACCAGAATCCTCTTGGGTACTTTCCAGTAGCTGACATAGATCAGATCATTACTGTCTACAGTGAGACTACCAATTATACCTTCATCTGTACTCAGAGTATCAAACGTTACATCCAGCTTCTCATACTCCTGTGTGTACATTGTGATAACATTACTGCTATGCACTACCACATGTCGACTATCAGACAGATATCCTACGTCACGGATATTGACATCCTCGAGGACTGTCCTCTGCAGCGGACCATCAGCAGAGAAGATATCGATTCCCCCAAATCTAGATCCCACTGCCATTCTCCCATCGGGTGTAGTAGCCATGCCGTTCATGCAATCTTTCTTAGAAAGTTCTACATCACATACCGACACACATTTCACTACCCTAACCTCACCAATGTTCAACTGATCAGATCGATTGTTACGTGTGAGCAGTATACATGCAACGACGATCAGGAATCCTACCATAACGATTCCGACAGGTTTCTTCTGCAGCTGACCAAAGTTCAACTGACATTTAGGTGTCGATGTAATTTGCTCTGCATGGTCAGCTACATCCGTAGCCAGCTTATTCTCTGGATCAGCCCTACCTAGTACATGCTCCAGCTCACAAGACAATGTATCACGAATAACAATGATATCACCTTCTAATGGAGCCTTCATGCAATTACCCGCTAACAAACTAGCACTCTCAATACTCGTAATGAACCTCTCATCAACATCTTGCATCTCATCCAAGCTTTTACATAATCTCACTTCTTGAGTTTCCAACTGCTTGTCTGATTCTGCTTTCCTCTCGTTTAATTTCTTGAGTGATTCTTGATAACTTTTGTTGTTGTCAGCCTTTTTGTCGGCAATGTGATCCGTGACACGCTTCTTTTGAGTCATGATGCAGGTCAGGTGATTCTTGATGGCTGTAATTTTTGTCTCACCTCGCGCTTGTAGAGATTCAATTTGTGTCTTGGTAGAAGCATTGTAGTCCTTAGCTTTCTGAACTGTGTGACCTTTATTCTCATGATCCAGCAACCTACATCTCAAGCAGATGAACTTCTTACAGGTGACACACACATCAGTACAGATGTATTTTTGTTTATCTGCTTTGTGTTCCTGGCAGTAAACTTCATTTTCGAGGATCACCCTTCCCTCTCTGACGTCTTCTATTCTCACAACTCTATGCTGGAGTTGAGCCGGCCATTTGTTATGATTCTCAAGGCATGTGCTACACATATTCTTACCACACTCACAACAGAAATGTACAGCTCTCGAGTTTGAGTCACACAACTCACAGACTTGCTGGCTATTTATCACCTCATCAATGAGAGACTTAAGAGGAACATTAGTATTTAGATTCATGACATTGCCACCTGTCACAGATGTTTCGCTTCGACAGATAGGACATGTTAGAGAATTTTGTGAAGAGCTTTTAAGAATATTATCAAGGCATTTCTTACAGAAAGTATGTGTACATGATAACTGCTTCGGATCACTGAGCAGCTCTAAACAAACAGGGCACTGCAAATTGCGTGAAATTCTGTGTACGAATTCCGACATTGTGATTCTCCTATATTAATTTACACTGATATGATAAATAATGCAAACAACAATAGTACATCAATGGAGAATTTTCACCCGTTAATTGGTGAATATCCCTATATTCCCTGGCTTTGGTACAAAAATCACCAGTTCCAGTGGATAATGGTTTTTATCAAGTTTGACTTACCATCCTTTGTTATTATCCACCTTCAATCACGTTAATAATAACATAAACCGGACTAAAATAATCGGATTAGGACGGGGGATCATCTTGCTTTTAGCCAACGGTCTTATCGGTAGTTATTCAGAAACCGTCCGATAACGTTATGACACAGTATTTTCTTCTTCTTATAGTAAGGGTTACAACTAACTAAAGTAACTTAGTGTAATGAGATGAGCGAGTGTGTTTACAGTCGGGTATATTCTCCTTCCTGTCGTCGACCACCGCATACTATCTGCTGCAGAACAAGTCAGGAAGCAGTCTGATGAGGACTGAAGATTATCGCATTTCTTCTGATCCGTACTCCTCACACAATGTGCTAATAGGCCCTAAAATTGAAAATGAATTAAAAAGATACAAATAATAATTGGGTCCTATAAACCCAGCGTACCAGGTTAATACTGCTGTTCCTGCAGGCCCTCGATTATTATTAATCGACCAATTGTCAGTTACCCATTTACACCTGGGTAGAGGGTGGTGAATATGGATCGTCGTCTTGCCAAAGGAAGTTAATGCTGAGCTGGTATTCGAACCATCAACCCTTGGATTAAGAGTAACGTGATTAATGAACCACTATACCACGAAACTTCCAAATATGACCAGTCGAATCAATACGATGTGACAGTGAAGAACAATTATATGTATGATTATCATTATAAAGTATGTGGCGTCACCAGGGAGAGCGGGATAGACAGAGATAAAGAGAGGGGAATGGGCGGGGGGAGTTGAACAGAAAAATGTTTTACCGATCTCAGTGTCAAATCTTTGCTATGGTTTCATTTTAGAATCATCGATAACTAATAGTAGATTATTTACAAAATATAATATTTTCTGTTATCATGGAAACTTGCTTCCAACCAGCATTAAAAACATAAATCAACATGAATAACAGATATACAGCGTGATGAATATGAACACGGACAGAAAGAGAGTCAGAGGGTTTTGTCTATTAAGGTGGGATTTTTAACCGAAATCTGGCACATCACCCGAATAATATTATTTAGACATGATTTAATATGGACTGGTTCGGAAACTTTTGCTAAAGAATGGATTGGATTGTTATTTTGAAGTCTTGTATCATTGTGTAAGGGACCCTTATAATAATCCGTTCTGGATTAAAATTTGGAGCGCCTTGTATTAACTGCAAATTACTATGTGGGTTGGCTTGGATCAGATTAACGAAATTCTCTTGTAATATAATTCCTAAATAAGCAGATAAAATAAAGTGTAATTGATATTAACTAAGAAGTGCATGTGGAAGAGTGTTAGCATATTCCCAGGTGCTAGGCCTGTGACCACAAAAAGGAAATGACAGGGAATACAAAATTAAAATGAGGTATGTCCCTATAAAATTGGCCCGTGTGCGGCAGTAGTCAACGAAATTGAATAGAGCGCTGTTCGTCGAACCTGTATGAATGAATGTATATGAATATGTACTGCGATTATTTCCCTTTGGTCATGATTATATCAAACACCACAATATAACAGGAACTTACATGAGTCTGTGAAACTCGTATCCACGTTGTCCTCATAAAAGATTCTTCTTGGCTGTCAATATGTTGGATCTAGAATAAAAAGGTAGACATATTTGTAAAATTGAGAACCATCTATCGTCATATTTTGTCTGTTATTGTACTGAAAAAGCATGTTGAACTGAATGACACAAACGCTAGCAATTGTTAAGATACAAAGTTAATCACTTGAGAGAAGAATCTCGGGAGATTTGTGAAGTCCAGTTAACAATAGCAGACTGCCAGTCAGCGGTTAATGAAATGTCAACATGTAAATCACCAAATAATGATGGCCACACAAAGGCATTCTATGTCACATTCTGGGACATTGTATCTGACCCCTTACCATCGGCCCTAAATTATTCTTTGTAATATCACAATTGTCTGCTAGTCAAAAACAAAGTGTTATTACATTTATTTTGAAACCCGACAAGGATATTTTTTTGAAGATGATTGCCGACCCATGTCATTGATGAATGTTAATTTGAAATTCTGCTCAAAAGTACTTCCGACTCGATATTAGAATGTACAGGATGTTTTTTATTACTTAAATACTAATGAAAACAAGGATACTTTTATTGTATCAGATGAATTGATTTTGAGAAAATCCTTCAATTCAATAAAACATGAATGTATTTGTAAAGCACTGGAGTCTGTATGTTTAGGTCTAACATTTATTAAATTGGTTTCTAACCATGTACATACTACTTGTGGTAGGTCCATGTTCAAACACTCTATTGTAACACTGAAGGATGTGTACTCAATAATGGCACCTCAACCAGGTATTTCCCCCATCTCCAGAGGAGTAAGAAAATGAGTCCTTTTTATCCCCGTACCCTTTTCCTATTGTTTGTTTGTTTGTTTGATTGGTTTTATTTCTGCGTTCGAAAAGATACAAATTCAAATTGAAAGTACACAAATTCGAATAATAACAAATACAATGAATAAAATGTTTACAAAAATAATTAAATAGAAAAAATTATATACAATTATATCATACGATAAACATGTACGAAGCATACAAATAAGATAAGAAATACATAGTAAATATTTTCCAATAAATTTGAGAGGTTATTTAGAACGTAGCATACCACCATCGCAATTCAAATGTTAGCTTCTAGTTTAAGAAATATGAAAAAATTAGAGGTTTTAATTTTGGCTCAATTAAATCAAAACTATCATTGCATTCAAATGATTTTTGTGCATTTAAACAAAATTATAATTTCGTTGAAGTATTATTAGATGTGCTAAAGCAATTTGGTAAATATCTTAATCTCACATTTAAAACAGAAAAAGCAAAAATATTGAAGACTAGAAAGCATCGAGGTCCTCAGATTTTTGAAGCTATCCGCCTAGTCGATACTATCAGAATCTTATGAACAGAAGTTGGGTACAATTCTTAAGATTATCAGGTACAAAAACGGAAGGATATACTCCTATCACTTAGGCGAGAACTACATGTATAGACATAAAGCAATGTTACATTATTTGGTAAAATACATATCATTACTTCTTTTGGTATATCTAAGTTATTTACGTATTCTCATTAATTCTAAGGATTGAAACTTATTTTACGCTTTTCTATGGAAAGGGAAGGACATAGTTAGACAAAATGTTAGTATACAAATATTTGAAAAAGGAGGTCTCAAAATAGTAGATATAAAATCCGTAATGTCGGTGGACTAGCAGTTAACTTGGATTTTAAGAATGAAGAGTGGAAGCAATTAAAGTTCGTTCAATGCTTTAAACTATTATACACAGACAATATGGTGGTGCTTTTCTTCTTAACTGCAACTTTAATACTGATCTGTTAAGCGTACATCTACCTCCATTCTATGCCTCTATTGTTGGACAATGGTCATGGCTATGCTCTTCTGTAGAGGATGAATGTTATGCTTATAAGATAATATGGAACAATTTTGAGATACAGGTTGACAATAAAATTATTTTTGTGTAAACATTTGTTCGTAAAAGGAATTGTAACGAGACATCATATTGAGTTGCCAAATGGTGCAACGAACAGATACAACTTGATGAAAAATCAATTCAACATCAATGGGAATTAACACAAGGAGTAGCTTCATGCATACATAAGGGCAGTAAATAAAAAACGTAGTCAGGTTCACAAAGATGAAATAGAGGAAATTACTGAATACTGATGAGGCTACCCTGGGTAAACAATACATATTATTATTATCATTATTATTATTATAGTGATGCCAAATAGAAGTAGACATTTGTATGTAAACTTTGTTGAAATAACGAGAGAGCAATATCTAAGCTATTTTCGTTAACAAAATATGTATGATTTTTAGTGGTACTGAATTCTAAAAAGTACGAAAAATTATAATCAATACAACTATCGATACAATAGCACGAGAGTTCAAGTTTAAAGTCTTGCATAATATTCTGTTTTTTGATTACAAGCTTTGCAAAAATGCATGAAAAGCCTTCTCCAGAACGTTTGTTGGCTTTAACAAAATAAGAAACTAAAAAAAAAAGGAAAATGGCAATGTAGCTATATTCAGACGTTTTGGAATAAAACCAAACGTTTGCTGTCCAATTTTTAGTTATATTATCTGGATAAAAAAAAACAGTAATCGTATGAAATGTTTGAAAGCACTCACAAAGTATAATAATAATCAAGTTTTTCTAATAGCAAAACGTTGTATTTACCTGTGCATGAACAAGACACACAAGCCAGGCATTGATTTTTTTAAAAGGATGCTATTTACTTTGTATGAACAAGAAAAATATATTGCAAATCGAAAAGGCAAGTTATTATCACCATAGACAATGGAATTGTGTACTACCAATTTAAGTTTTTATTCTCTTTATTATACATGTACTTCATAGACGCGTTTCAAGCTTTTGGTATGTTTTTTAAATGCATCAATTATGCAAAAGATTTATTGTATCCTCATATGGAATATTTTTGGTGAACTGAAAAGTATCTTTAACATATCTTTGAAATATTTGTAATACAGTCAAACCTGCTTTAGTGACCACCTGTCTACAGAGACCACTTGTCTACACCAAGCACATTTTTTGTTTCCCTTAAAAATGGTTTCTCATTGAAACATGTACTAAAGGAACCTGTCTACAAAGACCACTTTTTGTGTTTCCCTTGGGCGGTCGCTGTAGACAGGTTTGACGGTATATATATACATATAGATAAGATACAACGGCAGACGTTCCTTATAATGCTTACACTACAATATTAATCATTGGGCAACATTTATTCATGGACTATATTAAATGTGAAGAACAATCTTACCAAATCTGTTTGAAAGCCTTCTAATTGGAGCCAAGTGTCATCCCAAAAGGGTTCGAACAAAGCTGAAAACGTCGATTTCAAGAAGCTGAAGAAACAAATCGTG